TTTTTTTTTTCCACGCCCACGGCTGGGCCACCGGCCGAGATGTCTTGGCCACGCCTGTGGCTGGGCCACGGCCGAAATGTCTAGGCCACACTCATGACTGGGCCTTGGCCAACATGTCTAGGCCACACCCGTCGCTGGGCCATGGCCGAGATGTCTAGGCCACGCCCATGGGCAAACGACCGGTACCGCTACCCGTACCGCCTCCCGTTTTTGCGAACTGCCAGGCCGTCGAAGGCATCACTGTTTTTTTCGCAGTTTCAAACTGCTCTCTGCCCAAACTTGCAGTGTACTGTTATTTCTGCGAGTTTGGAACTCTGCGCCGGTCACAGGCGCAGTTGTCTCAAAAAAAAAAAAATCACCAATGTAGGTCACAGCGATTCACAGCCCTTAGTTTTCAGTTTTTTTTTTCGTTTTTCAGTGTTTTGTTTTTTTGCGATTGGGTAATTTTGAGGTGTGGAGTGTGGACCTAGGCTACCAGAGTGGCCCCCGGGACCACTTGCCCGGCTGGGCCAGTATATATATATATATATGCGAGGACCTGGGTCCTCGGCAGGCCTAAGGGGCCTCCTGCTGCAGATGTGCCCGCCCTAAGTGATGGCGGGCCTAACAAATCACGAGAGGCCCTAAGCTGTCAATTTCGTATTTGGGGTTCAGACAGTTTCGTCGCGCCAGTTGATTGAGGGAAACACAGGCCGAGCAGCGATACATTCCACGGCCTTCCAGGCCATTCCAAAAAAATGCAGGCCCTGGACGAGAATCGCAGGCTCGTACACAGACAGTTGGGAGGCCCAACCGAACGAGGCCCAGTAGCTGCAACAGAGGCGCAGCATCCTGGAGCCTACCGGAACTTCCGGGCCCAGGCCCAGGCCAGCCAGGCTGCGATGGCAGGCAGGCTCATTCCATATAGGAAAGAGCTCGCTGCCTGGAGCCTCATTCAGCACTTGCATGCTGGCGGCAGCGCTCCTGGAGCGGACGCTCGTAGGCTGCTGCTGGCGCTGAGAGGCAAGGTGCTAGCGCGTGCGGTCGTGCAGGGAGCAGGGCGCTGCTGAGGGCAGCGCCATAGCCCAGCCTCCATAGCTGGATGGGCTTGGACTACAGTGAGGCGCAGGGGTGGTCTTCGGGTGTACAGAGGGAAGACGTGGGAGTAAGTCAGAGAGAAGGATGATGATGATGATGATGATGATGTGAGGGCACATACCTGGTATTGGCGATGGTCTGCATTGGGCGACATCTTCAAGTACTCGTAGGCTGCTGACGTCAACAGTTGCATTGTCAATTAGTAGGCAGATTGTAGCTGTGTAGGAAGTAAGATGGGCGCCGAGCTCCAAGTATGGAGATAGGGCCTGGACACTCATGTTGGTGGTGGCGAGAGCAAGCTCTCATTGACATTGGTTTTCAGTGTTACGATTCTTCATTGTTGTTATATTGGTGCATTTCTGCTTTCTGGACACTGTGATACTATCTGGCCTTCAATGTGATTGTGTATTCTGGACATTGTCATTTCGCTAATGCTCATTTTCCTATATATATATATATATTGTCACATCACTACAAACTAAAAGAGCGCACTTTGCGGAACAAAGAATAAAAGCAAAAAACGGGCACAGTGATAACATGCAAAAAGAAAAAGAAAAAGAAAAAACAAGGGCAGATTGAAACCATTAAATTTCTCATTCTTCTTTGAACTCCACCTCCATTGTGCCTCTCACGTGCAAGGCTCGCCACGTTGATGAAGTTGAGCGCGAGCTGCCCCCATCC